ATGAAGCAAAACTAGAGTATTACAGCCAGCATGGGAATTTTCATGACAGGATATTTTATGTGTGACCCGGGGTTCCCAAAACACAAATCTGACCATGTACAAATTCTGTGTGTTGCAGGTTCACGTTAGTTCATGTTGTTCCATTAGTCACCATTTTTTTTAACTTGATGTCAATAGAAGCCAACATTTTTTGGAGCAAACTCATAATAGGCAGCAGTAGTTTCTACTCACCAAAATACATTTCCAGATGGCTACAAGACTGGGACACAGACAGGACGTCCATCTTTAATTGACAGTCTATGATATCATCAGTAGCTTAAAGGGGTTAAAGGGCTGCAAAACTGCTGCAAGTTATTGGGGAAAAAAAGTCTACCAGAAGAACCCATTTGCAACTCAATTGTCAAAAAAGGCAACTTAGAAATTGATCAAAGTTTAGTTTCAGTTCCTAAGAATAGAGAGAAAAAAATACTAAAAAAATAGCAGGTACTCACTGTCTGTCAGTCGAACTGTGGGCACCTCCATGTCAGGTGACTGGACCCTCTCCACCCGGGGCTCTGCCAGGGAAGGCAGAGGAGCACTTGGTGCAGGAGGCGGGTGGTTGTTGTTCTCCATCCCACTGCCTGACACTAAACTGTCTTGTTGTCTGAAGATGGGCATCTCAGGCCTGCGAGAAGCTCCGTCACTAGGGCTGAGGACGGGAGACGGGGGCTCTGCTCTTCTCTGGGGGGGCTCAGGGATCCTAGAGACAGGAACGGACGGCAACTGGGCATCCATCCTCCTTGGAGGAACAGCCGGCTCATGGGACCGTGTCATCCCGAGCTCTGGCCGCCGATTTGCAGAGATGGAGTTGGAAGAGCCGTCCAGGGAGGAATTCCGACTGGCCATGTTGACCTCAGGGCGTTTGAGGCCAAAGCGGGCAATGCCAGCGCTGGGAGAGTTGTCGATCTGCTTGGAGGAGACCTCGATGGAGATTTCCGTCCTGCGAGAAGAGGTCAGGTCCGGGTTTCGACCTCCTGCCAATTCAATGCGCCTCATGCCGGTGTTTGGGGAACGCGGATTGGAGGACTCTGAGGGCGAAGATCTAGCAGAAGAATAGTCGGAGTTGCGGGAGCCCAGCTCGTAGCTTCGCTGGCTTGATGTGGAGGAAGTGGATGAGCGAAGAGAGTTGGTGGTGCGGCGAGACAGGGAGGAGGGATGTGTGGACGAGTCTGTCTCCTCTACCTCAAATGATCGTTTGAGTGCTGAAAAACAAAGAACATTGTCAAGTTAAACAACAAACACCTGGTCCATACAGAAACCGCTGTGGTTCAAACACAGATCCTCTCAAAGTAAAGATTTTTGTCATCAAATAAAATTTAACCCCCTGTAGTCAAATTTAGAGAATGACAACTGCTGTGTCCAAACTTATACTCTGAATGACAACTGCTGTGTCCAAACTTATATCTAATTAAATAAATATCTAATTTCTTGGACAAAAAACAATTAAAAGCATCATTTAAACCACCACTGCACTAAAATATTCATTAATTAAATTGACTAATCACTTAAGTCATGGATTCAAACTTGGTCTCTTAATTGTTTGATATTTGTCTTGTTTTTTTCCACTCATACTTAGTTTTGTCTGTCATTCTGATGCTTCGGGACTTTTCTGCCTTTATTAAGGCCTTTATTAAGACATTTATTGACAATGCGAAAAATACAGAAGAAATGAAAACGTGTCAGTCCATTAACATGTCCTATGAATGACTCAGCACCCCGACGAGTCGTTTTATACATAGGTTTAATTAGACACTTAATATGTTCGATGAAAAACAAATATAACGGCCGATAACGAAGGGGGTAAACGCCGTAAGAGCAGTGGCAGATAAGCGAGCGTGAATGTTTTTTCATTAAATTAACATTTTCAACCACCAACCTCGGGACTTTTGTGCTAATCTTACCAGATTTGACGCGTTTCACATAGCAGGAAATCATGGCGCTTTTCATTTTAAACCCACTGGTAATTCCACCTGGTAAAGAGTAGCGTCAGTCCGCCTATCAAGCAGGTGTGTCGGGATAGAGCGTTCGTTCACTAATCCACGTTACCGCAAATACCTGATCACGTGACCACTATTACACTAACCACGCCATATATACGAGCTGGAAGTGTCGCAATTGAATTTACGTCACAGACCCGAAACATCGTTAAGTACCAGGTAAAATGTAGTTCAGTGATATAGGTAGTGCCTTTGTTTCATGTTTAATGAGAGTTGTGAGACTATGTGAGAATATGCATTATAGAGCAATATATTTAAAAAATAAAAATTATATAACTAAAATAATATTTTATATTAGGTTGTTTATTTATTAATTTTTTATCAATTTGTCCGAGCTTCCTTTGTCTTTATTTATCTTTTATTTATCATTATATCTATCTTAACAATTTGTTCATTACTGTCATTGGATCATTGTTTACAAAGCATTGAAGACGCGAGGCATTTTGCAAAGTATTTTTTAAAATCACATTCATATTATTTTTTGCCATTCACTGTATTTTATTATTATTCTATAAAACTAACACAGAAAAGCTTTAGTCCAGGCCCCAAGGACCTGATAAGAGAAAAACAGCCAGTGATTCCAATGCTATACTGCCACACTGTGGTCATATAACGTGCTACAAAGAGTCCATCTGAATCATTTTGTTTGCTGTGTCTGAGAAAGCAGCATTTTCGGAGTTCATCCTAAATGTTGTCATCCTGGGTCAACGTCCCATCGTGCATTAACTTACACAGGAAAGTGCCTGACACAACTGTTCCACTAAAACATCTCATTTGTCTGTTTTTCTCTCCTTTCATATCAGTGGTAGCAACTCTGCCTTTGTTTTGCTTCCTATGGGTACAGGAGAAATCTTTTGTTTCTAGCCATTTACATCTCTGTGGAATATGTGAGGGTGATAACCCAGCTCACCTCAGCTACTCCCGGCAACATGTCCTGTAGCAACACAAGCCCGATCCCAGATAAACAGCCGAGCCGGCACAGACCTGTGGCCTACTTTAACACTGACCATTCAAACGTCAGCGTGTGGGAAGACACTCTTCCTGGAACTCTCTGTTTTCATATCGTTAATTTGATTCAGGAGGCCTTTGTGTCTGAGCACTGAGAAACTCCGAAAGGGTTACAGCGTCTGCTGGGTGTGACGAGAAACACTAATTTAACAGATTTCCTTTTTTTGAAAACGTTATTAGAAAATACTGAATCAGTTGAACTTTTCCAGACATCCCAGTCCTCTCCCACACAGCCATACGTGCACAAACTAGAGCGGCCAGTGCTAATGGTTTGTGCAGAGCTTCCTGCACGCGCCTACGGTTAAAGCGCATTCCTACAGAATCACAATGCATCATTGTGTATTCATAATAATACTGTAATCTATACTAGAGAGTAGCACATTTCACTATTGTCACTCCACTAAGTCAGTACTAATGTTTGAAATACCTTTTGGCAGGCTAACAGAGAGAAACACAGAGGTAGATGATAGCGATCGTCATGAAAAAACAAAACAGAAAAACAACTTGTGACTGAGATTAAATCTTATGATGCATGTTGCCACCGTTACAGATCATTTTATCAGAGTTTGAAAGACCACATTATCTGTGTTCTCTGTGGCTTTCAAGTGTTAGAACATTAGTGATGGATGAGACCGCTCATGAAAAGAGTTATGTCAAATCAGATGAAGATTACACACAGACAGGAAATGAAGAAATAAAAAACTTCAAATGAAGATAGCTTGCCCTGTTTCGGCCTGGGTGGGTGTTCGGCAGTGACGCCACAGATGCAGAGGCAGATCTTCAGAGTGCCACAGACCACTAGAGAAATGGCTGGGATTTTCGTTTTAATGACCTGTTTGTCTAGAATTGTGCTAACTGCGTGGTGTTCCTGCTCTGTGGTGACACAAGCCGAGCACAGTGAAGTCAACAAACAGACACGCTGGAGTCAGAGGCGCTGTAAGCTGGGGCTTTTATTCCTCCTCCCTAATCAGTGTGTTTGATCTCTGTTGTTTACCACAGCAACATCACTGGAGGTGTGTGTGAATGCAAGAAATAATTCAGGCACAACATGCTGTAGATCACAAAAACACAACAAGTTTCCTTCTGTCCTTCTTCATTTTGATATTACGCTCTTATACTTATTATAATAATTACATATAAGACTGACATTAAAATACATTTTATTCAGCTGCTTGAGCAAAGAGGTCAAAGGTCACATAAAACCTGTCTGAGTATCAGGATTAGCCACAGTTTACATCATACTGTATGTGTCTGATCTGCTTGTTTGTGTGTGTCTGTGTCATATGCACATCTGCTGCTTGTGCTGCTTCAAAGGATAAACACTGATGTGTCTAAAGTGCTGCTGCTGCTGCTGCTGCTGCTGCTGCTGCTGAGGTGATAACACTGATCACAGAGCTTCAAGCCAGGCTCAGATAATACTAATGGTGACCAATGGGGAACAAATGTTAACCTCTGGTCTTTCATTATTGGTTCCCTCTGGTTCTCCTTCCCTTCAGTTCCTCACACTCGACCTGGAACAGAAACCCAATCTTTGAAGATTTTTGTTTTAAACCATATTAACCTTAACCTAAACCATAAACCTCCTTACAGACTCGTACTGTAAAGGCACTAAAACACTCCACAGTGGAGGGTGGTGGGGGTCACACTCTTTTTCCTCTCACAGCACTGTGCCTTCTGACAACTCCGGGGTCTTTCCTGGGGCAGTTGACGTCACAGTTTCAGCCCCACGTCTCTGACAAACACCCAGGAGTCACTTTAAAGGTTAACAATGACCCGCTGTGTTCACGTTACCCTAAGCGTGACCGCTGGTGTTTCCCAGCAGCACCAGTGGCCCTGGCGTCATAAGCAGGAAGCCTGCCTCAGCTGGTGGCTACAGGGCAGCCCACATAGGAGCCCAGACTCCTGAGACCAGTTATCATGGAGCCCTGTCAGAGGACACTTCCTCTCTGCAGCTCTGTGAGGCTCCTCCTGGCATTTTGTCACAAGACACCGAGACGTAATGGTTAAAAAAATGTTCTTGGACAAGCAGAAACACTTCCAACACTGGCTCCTAATAACACAGTGGCAGCGTTTGAAGAGTTTCAGTCCTAATTCCCTCGACACAGCCTCTGCAAACACACTACAGCTACGGCTGAGGAGAAAAATATCTGACAAAAAAAACAAAGAGTTTTATGAACTGAGGAGAAACATATCTGACAAAAAAACCAAAGAGTTTTATGAAAATCAAACTAGAGTTGAAATTAGGGAGCAGCAGAAACTGAACCATTTATTAAGACACAGCACAGACCGTACTCTAGGGTTTAAACTGTCTCTAAAAAAAAAAAAACCTAAAAAAATAAAATTAAACATTTTCAAACATGAGTCAAAACTAAATCTCCTTGGCGTTTGGAGGTGTTTTTGGAGGAGCAGTGTAGACAAGAACAGTCTCAAAAACAGTTCTCAAACTATGGTACGGTATCAGTAAATGTTAACAGTAGGGTATTTTTAACCATAAAAACTCTTTTTTATGATAACACTGGATATTTTTTATAGCCGATGTAGAAAAATCATAATATTTATTCCCTACTTCACTCATTTGTTATTGGTTGCCGAGTGCTCCAGAGCCCAGGACATTTGTTGAACTGTAAATGGCGGCCTGGCTGGGCTCAAATCCATTCCTCCACTGCTGACTATTTTAACATTTTTAACCACCACAAAAAAATCTGCTCTAGTGGTATTTCCTCTGACTGCAGCAGCCAGAGAAAAGAGAGGCGATCAGCTGGGACGAAGAGGAGAGAACAGTCACAAGCTGTCGTTCCTTTCACTTGTTACAGAAATTCACCTTTGAGTCATTAAACCACTCTTTGTTTGCTGTTTGCTCTTCCTCATTAGACACAGATGACAGGAAAACACAAGGGGCTGTTTGCAAGAAGATTCAAATAAAAAAGGATCTCTTTCAGGGAGCGTTACAGACTGTGTGTGTTCATTGAGCGCAGCGGAAGCCCCCAGCGGCTCGGTCAATGATCTGTGTGTTTGTAAGGTTGAGGTCACAGCTGAGGTCGTCAGCCTTGGGCAACAAAATCCTGTCTTCTGTCTCCCTGAGCTTCTCACAGGCGTCATCAGTGCGGAGCGTGACTGAGTGAATCACCACTGGGTGTCCAGTACTGGTGACACGGCACATACGCTCTCTGCTGTCTGAAAACTTTGACGATGACATT